AAGGATGTCCAAACTCTAATCCCTGGAAACCTGTGAATATGTGAACGTTACAGGATAAAAGGGATTGTGCAGATGGAATTAAAGTTGCTAGTCAGCTGACCTTAAAATAGAGAGATTATATTGGATTATCAAGATGGGCTCAATGTAATCACACCAGGTCCTTAAAAGTGCAAGAAGGGGCCAGAAGAATCAGTGAGAAAGACGTACTACAAAAGAAGAGTCAGGAGAAATGTGAAGCATGAGAGAGACTCAACTCTTGCTGGCTTTTAAGATGGAAGAAGAGGGGCACAGGGCTAGGACCTGAGAGCGGCCTCTACAAGCTGAAAACAGCCTAGGCTGACAGCATGGAAATGGGGACCTCAGTCCTATGACCACTAAGAAATGAATTCCACCAACCTAAATGAGCAAGAAACTGATTCTCCCCTACACCCTCCAGAAACAAATATGGCCTTGCCAACACCACTTTGGTTTTGGCTTTATGAGACTCTAAAACAGAAAAACTAGGTGATCTGATGGACTACTGACCATCATAGATATTAAACTTTAGTTGTTTTAAGCCTCTAAATTTGTGGTAATTTGTTACGGCAACAGAAAACAAATACAGCTTAGCTACACAACTCCCTACTATAGACACAAAAAAGTGACTACTGTATACACATTAAAAAAAAAAAATTTAATGTTCTTGCTTTTAAAGACCATTACTGTAGACAAAACTAGAAGTTCTAGTCAAACTTCTTCACTTCTTCAGTCTTTAATCACTACAAAGATAACTCAGGCTTGGAATCTGGTTTCCTTCTCAGCCCTCTGCCTTCCTTGCCTACCTACTGTCCAGAACTAATCTCAACTCCTGTTGACAGAGGCCGCCACGTTCCATACTACTCACCGGCTCAGGATTTGTGGCCGATGTTTTGCTTTGGCTCTCAAACAATTTGGAATAATGTTGCCTCAGGAGGAAGCACCCATCTTTAACAAGACCTGCTCAAAACAAAGAAACTTAAGTGTGGAAGTCCATTTCAAAGAACTTTACTGGGAATTCTCCAAGACAGAGTTTCCATCAACACAGATGCATAAAAACCAACAGGTAAAGCCTGAAGTAATGGATGCCTCACCAGGGTTTTTAGCAGCTAATGCTAGAATACTCAGGGAAATGCTGTAAATCCAGTATTTTTCTCTGAAGAATTAATGTGTAGTCCCTTTTCTAACCACTATGCCACCCACACCCTCTACTTTAGCTCACCATCAGTGTCATAGGCTCTCCCAATTTTTAACAAAATTGAATGCAGTTCTTTCCCAGTTTTCCTACAGCATTTAAATATAGTATATGCTATCTTACCCGACCTGCTTAAAGGAATAGCACTTCTTTTTAAAATTGTTTTTTTCTTTTACTATTCCCCACAGCCAATTAAAAGTCCATAAAATAAGTTAAATATACCAAAGTAAAGACTTCTAGACTCCAGAGAGAGATCAATACTTATTAAGTGCCTTCTATGAGCAAGGCCCTAAGAAGTACACAGAAGCAAAACACAGATGGTCTTTGTCACTACACAAAGCTTAGAATATCATTAGACAAATGATCAAAATTAATAATAATCTCAGGCAAAAAGCAACAGGAGTTCAAAGTGGGGAGAGATAGTGACTGAGGTAGTCAGGAAAAAAAAGCTTTGCATGGAAGCTAAAAAATATGAAAGAATGTTGGAGATGATTCTTCCAAGACAGAACATTTTCCTAAAAAAAGAAATCTAGAAACTCCACCTGAAAATTCTCCCTCTTAGCATATCTCCATAAGAACTGAACAGGACTTTAAAAAAAAGAAAAAGCAAATGACCCAGCTTCAAAAACAAAAATAATTTCTGGGATTCTGAATTTGGACTAACAGCTAACTCCACAGAAATTCATTCTTTACTTGTCTCTGTTGGGGATGAAGGTGAATGACATTCTGAATGATTCTGGCCTTCTTTGTTCATCCCCACTATCTGTATCCCTGTAAGGGAGTGCCCACCTTAGGCGATCTCTACCTGCAACTGAGCCATGCAGGCTGGCTCCAAATGAGCTGACTGGAAGCCATTCTACTTGGTGTACAATGCATGATACAGGCTGCCAGAACTGTCATTTCCTTTAGCTACACATTATTAATTAGGAATAGGTAGGATCCCAGCACATGTCAACCCAAGTCCCAACACCTTTCAGTATCTGGCAATCTTCCATTGTGTACGTACACTCACCAAAAGATGTGTAAAAGAATGTTCATAGCAGCTCTGTCCATATTAGCCCCAAACTGGAAACTATCTAGATATCTACCAAGAGTTAAGGGATGAATAAATTGTGGTATATTCATATAAGGGGATACTACAGAACAATGATGAACAAACTGCTGCCACACACCACAACATGGATGAATTTGAATGTTGACCACAAGAAGTCACACGCAAAAAGCAAACATACTGTTTGCTTTTATGTATATAAAGTTTAAAAAAAAAAAAAAAAAGTAAAACTAATCTATGGCATTAGAAGTCAGAATAATGGTTACCCTGAAGCAGGGAAAGTTAGCAACTGGAAGGGACACTAGGGGGACTTCTGGGGTCCTGAAAGGTCTGTTTCTTAGTTTGAGAAGTGATTACAAAGGAGTGTTTAAAAAAACTCAAGCTGTACACTTACGATAATACCTTTCTTTGTGAATGCTTTATTCCAATAATTTATCTTTAAAAAACTAAAAGTTGTATTGCATTAAAGGATTATAGTAAAATGAGCAAAATTTTAACTTTACAATTGAAGAGATACATGTGTATTCACATCCACAATTTTTGATCAAATATTTATTTTATATGGTGACCATTTTTATAAAATTTATTTTATATAATTTGTTTTAATTTATTTAGCCAATAACATATATGTTTACACGGGAAATAAATATATATTCATAGTAATGTTATCTTAAAGAAAGATAACCATAAAATTAAGGATCTTTGCCTTGCACACCACTTCATTTGTCCTTGTATATCACTCTAAGAAGACAGAAGGAACAGGAAGAAAAAGAAGAGAAGGAGAAAAAGAAAAAACGTCTCCAGGCTGTTCTTTAAAACCTCTGAGAAAAAGACCAAGATAGGGTCACCAGAATGCATTCCAGTGCTGCACAGTTATTTGTTAAAAAATTGTTACAAGGCAAAGGGCAGGGACTAGATGTCCCCATAACTCCCACACTTTCTAAAAGGCAAGCCTGGCTCAGGAAATAGCAAATCACACTGTAGGCTGATCCCAGCTTAGAGGTGTAACCCAAACAACTTACTTTTTACCCCATGCACTGGCCATGAATATATCACTATCCCATATCTGCCATTAATAACACAATTTTGCTCCTCGCCAATAGTTGTATCATACATTTTCTCTTCAATTTAACACTGAGCAGAGAAAAAAACTCTTTCTGACCATCACAGGTCAGCTCAGAATGAAGACCCATCCACACTGTACTTGGAAATCATGGTTTCCTGATGATTGTGAAAATGGGGAGGGGAAAAGAGATCGTCAAGGTGAGCTGCTTTCCTAAGGGAGGTAGGAGATGAAGAGATTTAGCCCGGAGGCCAGAACCTTGCCTAGGCTCCCCTCAAGAGGAGAGGCCCAACCTACTGGTACATTTAGCACCTACTAGTCCCCGGGGCCCTTCGCAGAGACTGCGGCACAAACTATCTAGATATCTGCTGCGAAGATGCTGGAGACTGCCTGGGCCGGCAAACGTGAGCTTCTGGTGCTTGAGAAAGGCCTGGAGGACCCAGGCAGAGACCCACCTAATTTGTCACCTGTCAATCACTTGACCTAAATACACCAGCCACTCTGGTAATGAGAGGGAGGGGGTTAGTCCGAGCATGCTCAGTGATCGGGATGACATCACTTAATCAATGCTGGGGACGGGAAGGCTGCATCAGCAGCCTCGAGCGGGCTGCCAGGAACGTGTCAGAGGGGATAGAGAGGCTCCCATTAACTCGGTCGTCCCCACGCGGTTCGCGTACAAAGGGGGCACCACCAGCTACACACGCTGGGGACAGGGGAGGGAAGGGGAATAGAGGGCAAGGCTGGTTTATTTCAGTTGCCATATTCCTTTAAGAACTAAAAACTCATGGTATTCCCTCCCCCCACCAGCGTCTCCGGCTGCAGAGAGGGAGCAAAGGGGGGTAGGGAGGAGGGGAAGGGAAGGGGAGAAAGGTAAGAAGGGAGATCAAGACCGAGGGGGGCCCTAGCCACACAAAGTAACTTCTGCTCTTAGCACAGCAGGGCTATTGGGCTGCGCTCTGGGCCCTCCAGCCCCACAGATGTGGGTATACAGCCTCCTTTCCACCCAGCGCCAAGCATATCCGAGGGTCTGAGGCCATCAGGTTGGGGAGTCGCCCCACTGGGGCGAGGTCAGACACGGGCTCCATGTCCAGGGCAGCCTGAGTTGAGAAGAACCAGGAGACACATCAAGCCTCCCGGGACACCAAGGCCACCAGTGTTCCCGGCAACCCCCCGCCTTCAGCGCGCAGAGCAAGGTGAAACGACCCGGGAAGCCGCGTCTACGCGGCCGTGTTAGCTCCGAGGCTAGGGTTTCTCCAGTACCTTTCTCCTCCTTCTTCTGCTAAGATCGTGAGAACAGGCAAAGTGTTCGATAAATCCAAATTACTGCCTGGAAACATTTGTGGGTTTGCAGAGTTCATACTTGAAAGGAAGCCTGGGCACCCGGGCTTGAGCCTAACCCTAACACACTACCCACGCGGCACAATCAGGGCGGGGAACAATAGGCCCACCCAGGCCCCCTTTTTTGGCCCGCCCCGCCGCCCCCAGTCTCCCCTCCACGGGCCCGGGAGGGAACTGTGGGGCGGCGATAGGGGATCTCTAGTTAAGTCCACCCGAGAAAATAGCCCTGCGGGGGATATCCGAAGGGGTGACCCGAGCATCACCGCTCCGTCTGGGGAGTCGGGGCGCCGGGCTGCGGCGCGAAGCAGGAGGGTGGGCCAGACGCCCCGGCCACTTACCCCGATTACCACGGTCTCGTCGCCTTTAAATTTGGGGATGAATTTGTCCCCGCGGAGGATCTCCGCTTCGTTGAGGGGCCGGAACCGGCACATCACTTTGATGCTGCATTCAGATGGATCCGCCATCTCGGCCGGCGGCTGGGAGGGGGCGCGGGGAGGGCTGGGGGCCTGGGACTCGGCCAAACCAGGGAGGAGGCCGCGAACCGCACCGCCCGCAGCGAGGCCGCCTCCTGCAGCCTCCGATGAAGCTTCTCAGCAGGTCATGGCGAACTCAGCGGATGGGCAGCTGCGGCCGCTCGCAGAACGGGCAGGTGGGCAGTCTATCAGCCTCTGGCCTCGCGGGCTGCAGACCTACCTCCCCTGGTCCTGCCCCAGCCCTGCGCTGCGCCCCCGGGCCCACCTGCCCGCGACCACGCGGCCGGCGGACGAGGCGATGCGCAGGGAACGAGCCTCGCCCGGCTCAGACCTCCCGGGCTCCTGCGCGCTCAGCCATCCTGCATCAGCACCAGCGCGCTCCGCCGCCTCCCAGGCCCGCCCCTCCGCCCTTCGCCCCGCCCTTCCCTGGTCCTCCCCAGGCGAAACGTCTCTGCAGAGATCCGCCCCGGCTCCGAGCGCGGGGCATCCTGGGACTTGTAGTCTCTCCACCAGCAGGTGGAAGGACAAGGATGCTTGGAGTTGGGTTCCAGAGACAGCGGTGGTGCCCGGGGTGCAACATCAAGAGCCTGTGAGTGAGATTTGGCTACCCAAGTCAAGAAAAGAATAGAGGTCACACCCAGTGATCTCTATAAATAACCAGGTCTATATCCGCTCTTTACATCTTTTCATGCTCCCAAAGGAGAATCGCTATTTAAGACAGTGCCCAAAAAAACAGTTATGAAGCATTTTCTTTGTGCTGAAAAGTTTTTTAAGAGTCGTGAGGGAGTTCTGAGGGAAAATGAGAGTTGCATGAATATTCAAAGCCAGTTATTCCCAAAGATGCCTGTACACAGATAGTGGTTCATAACATATTTTGGGTCGGGATTCCTTTAATATCTGAAGCAAGTTAGGTACCTTTTCCATAGCAAAAAACAACAACAGCAACAACAACAAAGACAAATAAATCCTTACCCACAGATTCTTCGTACTATTTCAGAGAGTTTGGGAGCAACTGAAGCTTGCCTGTGACTCCCAGGTTAAGAACCTCTTAATTACTGTTACTTATAGTAAAGATTACAGAACTTCTGCCTAATTCCTACATAGAATTCTATGATATGAACAGACTATAAACAGGATCAAATCCAAAGTCCTTCACAAAAAACACCCAGGCCTCATGCTCAGATTTATGCCTACTTATTAGCCTCATTTCTTGCCACTTCTTGTCTGGATGTTTACACTATGACTTGAGGCTTCTCCATTCCTCTTGCTCTGCATGTTTCCATGTTTAAGCCCTTTGCTCTCCTGAGGTTACCCATCCATGCCTATTACTAAGTAAGTGTATAAGGGTTCATATGATGGAATGTGATAGAAACCCGATTGGAGCCACTGAAGCAAAAAGAGAATTCATCTTGCTCTTTCAAAAAATGACTAAACAACTGAGCCAGCAAATGGGCAGTCTACCAAGACTGTCTCTCTACCGCTGGTCCCTGTTCTCTCTTTTTGTTGGCCTCACCCTTTCTCATTCCAGATCATTCTTTCAAATGTCAGGAAAACCAGCTGCTGATAGCCTCTGGGTTTCATTCTTCAGTTTCTACCATTAGATAAGGATAGAGATTTGTTCAGAGTTTTGGTTTGAAAAATCCTAGGGAAAGGTTGTGATTAGCCTGGGTTTAGGTTGGTGTCTACCCCTCAACTACTCAACCGAAGCAGGAACTTTGTAATATCATGGAGGAATCTCATGGTGGGAAGGTTCCCAAAAGAAGAGGAATGTCATTCCCTCCAGTAATCTCCATTAGTGAAGTCTTTGCACTCCAAAGTCTTATGGCAGTGGTGCTTGGAGGAATTACACCTCAGAGCGGGTACAAAAAGGGCCACCTACTCCACCAGCTCTGGCCGAGGCCCACATGGCCAGAGCAGCAGCATCTTTGCAGGAGGACCAGAATCCTGGAGATGCAGGTGGTAACCAGAGCAGAGAAAGTGGAGAATCCACTGCAAAGCTGAGAGGTGGTTTAGGAGTGAAACCACTGAAGAGAGGTGATCCTGAAAGGAAAAGGAAAAGATAAATTCTGCTGTTATACAGGGAAGATCCACACGACTCACCCACCCTTACTGCTCACTACTTCTTTTCACAAACCTTCACTCCTCACCAGTCTCCAAACACTATACACATCTTGTCAACTCTGACTCTTTACACACGCCCAGTGGATTCCTCTCACCTATTTGCCACTCTAAGTCTAGGCTATCACTCAAGAGTCTATAAGACTTTCTCTAAAACCTCCTGATACAGGGTTTCCACTTGAGGTGATGAAAAGTTCTGGAATTAGATAGTGGTAATGATTACACAACACTGTGAATGTACTTAGTGCCACTGAATTGTACACTTTAAGATGGATACGATGGTGAAATTCATTATATGGATTTTACATCATTACTTACCACAGCCGAGACATGGAAACAACATAAATGTTCATCGACAGATGAGTGGATAAAGAAAATGTAATGTTATATATGCATGAATATTATTCAGTCATAAAAAAGAAGGAAATCTTACAATTTGTAACAACATGGATAGTCCTTAAGGGCATTATGCTATGTGAAATAAGTCAGATAGAGAAAATTATATAGCATATGACTTCACTTACATGTGGAATCTGAAAAAAAAAAAAAAAACCAAATTCACAGATATAAAGAAAAGATTGGTATTTGCCAGAGGTAGGAGTGGAAGGAGGGCAAAATGAGTGAAGGTGGTCAAAAGGTAAAATCTTCCAGCTATAAGAATAATAAGTTCTGGGGATATAATGTACAGCATGGTGACTTTCGTTAACCATACCATATTGTATATTTGAAAGCTGCAAAGAAAGTAGATCTTGAAAGTGCTCATTGTATGAAAAAAATATTTGTAACCATGTATGGTGATGGACATTGATTAAACTTATTGTGGTCATCATTTCATTATCTGTATATCTATATATATATCTATATATATATATACATATATATATACACATACATATATCGAATCACCGTGTTATACATCTGAAACTAATACAATGTTATATGTCAATTATATTTCAATTTTTGAAAGTATATAATATTGAAAGAAAAAAATGAATTAAAAAAACACCTTCCTGAACAGCTCTAGCTCATGAGACTCTCTTAGGCCTTCAGCCCCTCTGATTTGGCCCCTGAGCATTTGGTGCCTTGTAGTGATGTTTCTATTGCCTAGCACCATTCTCTAGTTCTTTCTATGTCACAGTAGTTTTCTTCATGTTAAATGTCTTGTGTGTATGTCTTGTTCCTCTACCTATGTTGTAGGGATCACGTATTATCCACATGCTTGATAAATCTTTTCTGAATGATCAATCCATGTCCATCATGATCATGATAATGGCAAGGACAAATGAATAAATACATGAACCTAGAAATAATGATGTTGCATTGCTGATGGAGCCTTGGGCTCAGGGTCCTACATTTCATTCTAGCTCTGCTGCTAACAAGTTCTGTGACTCTGGAAAATGTATTCAACTTCCGTGAATTATTCTTTTACCCCATCTGTTGAAATGGTGCTAAAAATATTGTCTATTCTGGATAAGTGAGAATTGAAAGAGAAATATGTGAGAAAATGCTTTGGAAATAAAGTCTGGGAGAGGCCGTGAAGAGACTGGAGAAATCACTCCTCCCAAAAAGAAAAACATAAGAAAAAGAAAGACAAGACATATATTAATATAATATAAAGTTATTATTCCAAGGCCTGGCATTATACCAGGCATCAAGCAGCAACTCAAGAGGGTGGCTCCATAGTGTAGTGGTTAGCACGTCTGCTTTACACGCAGAAGGTCCTGGGTTTGTGCCCCAGGTAGAGCCATGGATCATACCCCAGGTGCGCAGGGTCTGGGTGCGCCGGGCCTCCCGGGTGTCCCAGCCCCGCCCCCCCAGGTGTGCCAGGGATGCCAGGCCCAGGGTACACACCTGGAAAGTCAGGGGGCTGGGGGAGGGGTGGATGCCTGCCTTCTTAAAAAAAAAAAAAGGGAAACGGCAACATCCATAGGTCAGGAGTGGAAGTGTGGTGGTGGGGGGGAATTAAAGAGAGAAAGAAAAAAGAAGAAACTCAATAATGTCTTTCATGCATTCATGCATCATTCATTCATTCATTCAACCATGTGGATTTTTCTGTCCAAGAAATGAATCCTGGAGGGTCTTAGTGAAATGAATCATTTGCTTCTGAGAAGGACCAAGTCCTGCTGCCCTGATTTTTGCTCGTGGATAAATTAATAGGTGTGGTAAGCTCTTCCAGGACAGCGCTTACTCCACTCCTTTCCTTCCTGACCCCGCAAAGCCTTTTCCAAGCAGGAATTTACAGGTCCTCTGAGGGCGGTTAATGAACTAAGGAATTTACCCACTAGTACAGGGTAAGGGCCTCAAACAGACTCAGTTTCTAGGCCACGGTTTCTCTCGACACCTCCACCAGCAACACTCATATGGCCCCTACAGCTTTATTGTTGAGATGAAACAGAAAATGGAGAATTATCTGGATCATTCAGGCAAAAACGAACAGTCTCACTTTGACTTGCTTGAGCCCGGTAGAAATCAAGGCCAAAGCACGTGAATCCCCCTCCACACTCCCCTTTTCTCTCCTGAGTGATCAGAATCATTTTCTGAGCACTCTGTTTCTCTCTATTCAGCCAACTCCTAGAGAGCAGTTTCTGTCCTAGTCTCTACCGCCAGTAAAAAGTATAAATTGAAGCAATTATCTGAATTGTTCAAAGAAAAAAAGCCTCAGAAATTCTTCTGCCTGAGTAATCTAGGTAATTGCTTCAATTTTCACATCAGCTCCCTGTCTTCAGCAGTCACTCGGATAGCCATTTAACTTCAACCCTGGGGTCTGCAGGTCCCGTGCGGGTTTAATGATTTTTGATTGCCCAGGCTCAGCTCCATTCCTACAAGTACAAAAATATCTGGCTCTGGTGAAGATTAAAAACCAAATGAACAGATGAAAATGTTTCTAAAGATGTTGAAAAATCCCTTTAAAACTTGTAAAAATAATCTATGGCCATGGAATGGAAAATCCGGGTGTCTTTTAATATGTATCACCTCAGTTCAAGATGTTCAGATAATCCAGCTCAGTGGGGAAGAGGCACAGACTATCATCCTGCTTTAACATGACATCAGCTGATCTGGA